CTTTTATTTGTTTGCTCTCTTCACACATTAAGCTGTAGTTGCTCTGGTGCTTAGGTCCCTTTAAGAAATTTCTGCGTATCCTATAGTACTGAGGTCTCACCCAAACAGTGAAGAATCCAGCTTTACTCATGTATTGGTTATAGATACTGTAATTGTGAAGGCTTTCATTCGAACATATCATAGGCCTTATACTGGCTCTCCAGCGCTATGGAGGGGGCACAAGAAATGACTTGACGTTTGACCAATAATGCAAGGCTATAGACTCCGTAGGTCATGTTGTCACCTGCACACCCTGCCCTGCTACTGGAGAAAGACATGGGCCATAACTGGTTAAAAGATCCACAGTGAATCCTGGTCTAAATGTTGGCATGCTAAAACATCAGGTGATTTATAAATGATTTTATTTAATATGAAACGTGGTTGTGTACATTTCATAATTTTGTATTTACACTGCTCTTGGCAGCCTAGACAAAGTTAGGTCATTCCTGCAAAGTATTTACCTTCATATATTAATAAGAATGGCAAGCATGCCCAAACTTAAGTAAAACAAGTCTCGTGCTCTCTCCTGGAAATATGAATTTGACCTTAGTGCATATTTGCAGCCAGCCCTGCCCATGAAAATTATTATAAGCCTTAAAGGGACATGCCCGACACCAAAACAACGTAATCTAAATTAAGTTATGGTGCCACGAGGCCCCTGGAGAGTGCAAAGGAATGGCCTTTTAATAAGCAAAACCATCAATTGCCATCAATTACCCCCTGCCCCCTCGCCAGCTTTCCCACAGTATGTATTTTAAGAACACAACTTAAAGCAAGAAATATATATTTTTCTTTATTATAAGTGTATATTCTATGTTTATTTCCCTTAAAAAAATTTTTTATTTTTTTATTTCATTCCTTCAATATTCACTCCACCCTCAACCACCAATCAGTATAAATAGCCGTGGAATATTTTGCATGTAACATAATATCAGTCAATGAAGTATGCTCCCCCCTTCTGTTTCTAATCTACATGTTTTTAAAACCTCTGTCTTTGACTCCGCAGCCTTACGAGTCACTGTTCTTACACGTCGCCCACGTCCAGAGAGAGCCTGGAGCTTTTCTGTGTGTAACAGGAGATGAATCAGGTCAAAATTCTCAACCTCAAAGTATCCTGTCCACCATCATGACAATATATAAATATTTACATCCAACAGAAGAAAACCTATCCAAATTTTTTTTTAAAAAGACAAAAAATTTTTTTTACATGTTTAGCAATTTAACAGCTTTACGATAATTTTAACACCATTTATTTACATGTCTTACAAAGTGAAGCTGTTTCTAAATATGCACCCGTGACCCCTTTTCTGATTGACTACTCATATTCTAGCTTATTTATTTGATTACCTTGCTAACTGTGGCAGTATAAACTTGTGAGTTTCTCCACTTGTTCACAGTTTACAGAAAATCAGACTAAAATCTCACATCAACAACACTTTGGTCCTTTCACTTTTGTTATTTATAGCTAAGGTTCAAAAACTGTTTTACAAGCGCTATTTATTTTACTGAAGTGCAGGCTTTTAAAATAAAAAAATTTGCCAACCAAAGGAATTTTTTGGGGGATTTTTTGAACGTCATGAGAGTAGTGTGAATCAATGATGAGAGTACAGAAAAAAAGGTGCAGAGTATTGGCAGCAGGACTGAACATAAATGCTTAATAGAGTATCTATGTAGATTGCGCGGCAATTCTAGAGATAGTATGTTTTACACTATAGTGTTCTGTAGGAGTTTAGGGTACCTGCCCCCCTCCAAGTGCATGAAAAAGGTATTTTACTTAACGTTTATCCCTCACTGCTAGTCCTGCCTCCTTGACTTAGATCATCGATTAATCGCATTAAGAAGCATTATGAGGCTAGTAAGCATACGCAGCAAAGTATTATTATTATTGCCATTTATATAGCGCCAACAGATTTCATAACGCTTTACAATATTATGAGAGGAGGGATTTAGCTATAAATAAGACAAGAAAACTTACAGGAACGATAGGTTTAAGAGGGCCCTGCTCAAACGAGCTTACAGTCTATAGGAGTAGCATTTGACTGAGACTCTTGATGCAGTTCTCAATGCAAAAGTGCCTATAGTGGATGTCAGGAAGACAGCATCTAGAGGTGTAAGATAGATAAAACAATAGGATTTCTGGCGCTTGTCTGGTATAAGTGTGGCAGCTTGTACTTGGTAGGTATTTCTCAATCGTACACAGCGTACGTGGTATCTTCCCAACCAAAGAAATAAAAGTGTGAATCCTCCAGACATTTGCTCTTCCTACGTGTGTATACTGGGAAGAAATCCCCCTTTTGTACAATATTTCTTCCCTATTTCATTCGGTAGATTTAACTACCGAACAAAGACCACCCCCTGGCTCGTTAAACTTCAAAGACTGCTTCAATTAATCCCTCTATCTGTGCGGCCAGCGTTCGTACTACCGAACACCACGTGGCTGAGAAAACCGCGGCCATCTTTGTTCATGTGAACAAAGGCAGCGGGACTTGGTCGTCGAGTGTCTGGAACTAAAATCGGACACTCGACTTCCCGAACATCGGTCTCAAACAGACGAACGCTGGAACTCTACTTACCGAATAGCTAGAAGAGCGCTATTCGGTACTTTGGTGCATTCGACAGAGGGGAACAATCGCTGCTGAGAGCCAGGGGGATCCATTCGGTACTTTATTCGCTTTTTCCCTTTTACTAAAGTGACCGGCAAAACCCACCAAACTCATGGAACTGTTTTGGGCAGCCAGGGTCACAGAAGACTTTCACAGTTTTTGAGAACCCCTGAACCGATCTGGGTGAAATCTGAATATGTTGGTCACCCAGATCAGGGCTATCAGGGGACGTTATTTGTGGGGATACCCCAAGTATAAAGGGGTGTTTCAGATATTGGGGGAAAATGTAATTTTTCTGCCTGGAGATAATCAAGTTAGTACTTTATCAGACTTGATTATCTCCAGGGCTAGGGGAGGGAATTGTGGGAGTGTGTTGTGTTTTTACGGTACTTGATTGGTTAATCTTTGTCCATCCCTGGGGGATGTCCCCTTGCATAAAAGCCTGTGTGCACTCATTAAAAGTTAGTTCAGCTGTACCCTTCTTCTTGACTTCGGCTGATGTTTGGGGATTCGTGTGTTTCATTAAGGGAATTATCTTATGAAACTACTGGGATTACTATACGATTCGTCTACTTTTTCTACCGAACGGAGAGCTATAATCACTAGTGCTCTGGCGGTTCGGGAGGAAACTACCGAATGAGGTTTAAATATACTTTGGTTTCCATACGTATACCTTATTTTATTTATTGTATTGTTAATTATACAGAGAGCACTATATTTTGGTTTTATTTTCAAGCCATATACTGGTGAACTCCTTTTGCCATACCGTCGCATACTAAAGTAAAAGACCCCTGAATCCTGCATCAAGAGTGATGGGTTGGCCTGGAAGCATGTTCCTATAAAGGGCCAGGACCATCTACATATCCACAGGCCGCCCAAGCGCACATATCTGGAGCTGATCATAAGCTCCAAAAAATTGTAAGTGTTACTCTACTTATTTTATTCATCAGCTTCAGATACTACACTATATTCCGTTTTTTTTCTCTCTTTTCTCATCACATACTACCTCAACACTATTCGGATTATAGAACACTCTAAAGGCTCTGCTTCACTACACGCCTTTATAACCACTGCAAGAGACATTGCACTTTCTACAATGCCCAGACCACTTAATTGAGATAACGTGCACTGGGTGTCCTTAGTGGTCCTTTTTTGCTGCTGTGTCAATTTGCAGGTTTTGCTTTTAAAGGAACACTCAACACTCTGCACTTCGAGGCTAAATTTCCTTTTTAAATCGAATGAAGATATCAGTGGCAGCGTCCAGCCTCGGGCTTGAACGGCCTACCAAGAAATCTCCAGGTTTCACAGTCCCCCTGCCCAGACCCTGATATTTCAGAGATTTGTACACCTGCTTGTCTGTATAGTATTTACCTAAGATATACCTACCAACTATTCCAAATTCGAGCTCCTGTTCCGCTGTCCTCAATCAAGTTAACGAAAGATTCTCTGGCAATGCAAAATGCAGTAGGGTCATGAAGCCCATAACTAAAGACTAGAGGTCATTAAAACCCTTGTGCGCATGTACTGCCCTGATCGGGGTTGGCCAGACTGGGTTTCAGTCAATTTGGGGTGCATTCACCCAGGCCAACATTCCCAATTCACTATTCAAAGTACAGCAAAAGTAACTTTTTGGTTTTATTGAAGAAATTGAGACAAAGAACCAACAGTTTGTTAACACATTTTCTGCACAGCTTAATACATAAAACATTCTTAGTTCCTTGAACTTGAGAACTCCAATGATGGAAACATAGACAGGTGATTTCCAATAGCAACTACAGTGGTGGCCTGAATATTTACCTTAGCTGTTCCAAAGCCATTCAGACCGGATATGTAGAGAGAAAATGTAAACAGAAAAAGATTAGTGTGGTTGCCCTCGATATGCCAGAATTATCCTGTAATTATAACATGCACTTCATGTTCTGAGCAGACCATGTTCTATCACAGCAATGAGTCCCAGCATGCAATTTTGTGGCTCTACAATAAGCAAACTCATATTCTGTGGCTTTAGACAAGAGTACAACAAGCAGAGAGGAAGGAACTTAACTCCTGCGTATAGCTTCCGTTTCAATGTCAATCTGGCATTTAGATTTCTTCTGTTAATTTTCTTCATACATGTTTGGTTCAAGGAGCAAAGAAAATGTTTAAGACAAAATGTTATGCTACCTGTGGTTCCGTCACATAAAAGCCGAATTTTACTTAAAACTCTTGGGTGGGGACTTTGTAAAGTAGATATGTTACTTTGGTGTATGGCTGATTTTTAAGTTGTCTTAGAATTAAAAGTGTCAGGGGATTTTTATAACATTCCTTTAGGGGCTTTTTCATTAAACTCTGTATTATAATAAATTGAAATCTGAAGGGCACGGTTTATCCAAGTTGTGACTGTAATTGAGTTGAACAATTCATCCAAAATCAGTATATTTAGCCTCTATTTTGCTATTTAAATTTGAAAATTCACTCTGCTTCGGAGTTTTGATGTGAACTTTGAGTTGTGTAATTTATATACACATATTATCTACATTTGTTTTTCAACCTGGTATTGGTGAGACACTTTGATCAGGGAGATCTCAGTTTTCTGTTCATAGTGACCTGGACAGTGGATGGGTGCAGTGTCATCTTAACAAGACACACTATGTGGTACAACAGCAGGGGAGTTGGATAGACTGAGGCCGATCTGGAATTCCTATGAGTTTCCTCGGAGTCCTGGCCAGTACAAATAGACTGAGTAGGGGGCGTGCCTAGCAGCCGAAGAAGATGGCCGCTTAACTCACCAGCTCCCCGTGGTCGCAGCAATCAAACGCAACTACCGGCGCACCTCCCGCATCTATCACCGAGCATGGGGCGCACTAGGAAGCAGACAGACCCCCCCGGCACCCCCAGACCATCGGGGACCGGGGCGGAGCACTCCATCCGCTCCTATCTCACCACGCCGCGGGACCTCGATCTGACACCAGGCCCGACCGCGGACTCACCCCCGGGAACTCCCGCGCAATTCTCCCCGACACCATCAGACCCACCTGACAGCCAGGGGGCGCTGGAGAGTGACTTCAGGGCCATCTTACCCACCCTACTCACGAAGGCAGACCTAGAGGCGCTGTCAGACCGCCTCAGCCAGGTGATCCGCAGTGAGCTGTCCCAGGTGAAGGCTGATATTGCCAACATGGACGCCAGGCTGACAGTAACAGAAGCAGACACACGGGCTCTCCGCGAAGACACTGATGCTGCGGTCTCCACGATCACAGGCTGCGAATCGAGCCTGACCCATATCACAACATGGGTCGACGACTTAGACAACAGGAGTCGCAGAATGAACCTCAGGTGCGTGGGGTCAGAGAAAGGGGTCCCAATGAAAACATCCCAGAGATCCTCCGCACAATCTTCAGCCTAGCCCTGGGGGGACAACAACCCAGAATAGGCCTTGTACGAGCCCACCGCGCACTCCGCGCACCACCAGCACCGGGGGAACAACCACGTGACATCATCTGCTGCCTGGATAATTTTATCCTCAAAGAGGATATTCTCCGCAACGCCCGCCGAATGGGCCGCATCAGGCTGGAAGATCAAGAAGTGACGATCTTCCAAGACCTCTCCCGCTACACACTGCAAGCCAGGAAGAACCTCAGACCAGTAACAGCAGCACTCCAGGCAGCGGGTATCCAGTACCGCTGGGGGTACCCCTTCTCCCTCTCCGCACGCAGGGGACAAGAGCTACACACCATCAAGGCACCGGCGGATGTCCAGGGATTTCAACGGGCACTGGGACTCCCGCCCACCAGAGTCCAGAATTGGCTGACCCACCACTTCATACAGCAAGCAGCGGGCCCTCCACCGCCACCGCCTGCCAGGCTAGCAAGTAGTGATCAGCGCAGACCCTCGGGACGCCCTGGCCCGGCCAGACCCGAAGAATAGCAGCCGCAATACGAACCCAGCCAGGACGGAGGAACGGTGCAGACAACACACCGCACAACAGTGAGTAAGGGCACTATAGATGATCGGGGGACATTGGCTACTTCTCCACGGGGGGCGCAGAGGCGCAAGGGGGGCTACCCACACTGCGGGAGGGGAAAAGGCATGAACAGCATGCGCAAAAACCTGGCCGCCGCCCCAGCAGCGAGACGCTGCAACCGGGGGTCGATGGCCCCACGAACATCCCCCGGCCTGGTGGAGCGGGAGACGGGGGGGGGAGGACATTGTTTGGGTGGGGGAATGGGAACCGGGACCACACCAGGACACTCGTAAGTCGCACTACGAACTCCTCGATTGGATCCGGACACTTTCAGGGCACAGAGACTAGAGACACGAACTCCACTCCCACAAGGGAGAGCCACGCTCCACGGCAGTAAGGGAGAAGGGGATCAGACCAAGGGGAAGTAAGGGAACCACTGACAGGGGTATCCGGAGGGACACAGGGAGAGGGTCGAACTATGCACACGAATACAACGGATACACACACAGCAATAGCGGCCTTATTGACACTCTAGGACAACACGCAGTACACAAGAACAGCTGGGACACAACACTGCATACCTAGAACACAGGGTGAGGGGGGGAAAACTAGAGGGACGGGGGGAGGCATTGGCACACCACAGCGTAGGAGGGGAGATAGAGCAGGGGAGGAGATTCTAGACGAGAAGGCGAGAGAGCATGGGGAGACACGGGGTAGAGGAAGGGGCAGGACACAAGGAGAGACGGGGAACAAGAACCAGCCGGGAGAGGGGGGGAAAGGGAGAAGGAACAAACACATGTGGAGAGGGAGGGTGGAGGGAATGAGGAGGAGCAAGACAGGAGGGGAGGGGGAGGAAAATCATAATGCTACCTTGTTTATATTAATCTATATAATTTAAATAATACAAAAAAAAAAAAAAGTCATGGGAACTACAACCCCACCTCGCAAAGCCAACCCTAAAGCAACAGGAGCAGGGAGGGGAGACGGGTAAAAGTGAGACCACCCCCCACACACCTCCAAACCGGACCCAACAACACCTAACTCCATTAACTCTAGACCCCAAGCAAAGCACGCATGCTGCAGGCCAGGGACTAGCCCTAATGAGGGGAATAGCCATAGGGGGGCACCCCACAGCGCTAGCCCACCACCCCCAGAAACCACACGTAGCCACCCGTCACGCGGACCACTAGGTACCCACGCACCGTTCCCGCCACACCTGGAACATATAAGTAGATGGTGAATCAGGCACCAAACCCATACAACTGCAGGAAGCCCACCAACCATGCCACCTTGCTGAAAAATACACTAACTGTAATAACAAACAAACAAAAAAAAAATGCACACAGAAGGGTGCAGCCACGAATCACTCATTGAGACCACCACGAGCCACAACCACTGTCTAGCCCACTACCCACGGCCACACCACTCAGACGGGGCATACAGACCCGACCCGTGCCGAGCGGGCACAGGAGACAATCCAGACAGCTAGGGCCGGAGGCGAAACGGCCTTCGACTCACCCCCAGAGGGCATAGGACAAAACTCACCCCTACGCTAGAGGGGTACCATACTTCGGAGGTAACCCCGGGCACCCAGAACACGGGAACCCAGGGACGCACCGTCCGGATACCTGTCCACACCCCCAACCTTAACGGAGAGCACACCAAGAGAGGCATAGGACAAACTCACAGACAAACCCACCAAGCACCCGCTACCCCTTACCCACACCTTTCCACTACCCACCACCCCCCGCCATATGGCAGCCGCCCCGGGTCGGCAGGCCCCGGGACGGGCCCACCACGTCAGACAGGACCTGAGCGTTGTTACGTATAACGTTCATGGACTCAACATCCGTGAAAAGCGTACCAAGCTTCTCAGGGACTTGAAACGGTACGGAGCGTCGGTAGCATACATCCAGGAGACCCACTTTCAAAGCCTCCCAGCACCATCACTCCAGGACCGCAACTTCCCAGTGGGATACTTCAGCAATAATCCACAGCGCCGCACGCTGGGAGTGGGCATCCTATTCTCCAGATGGACCCCATACATTGAACAAGACACGCTCCGATGCACATCCGGGAGGTACATCTTCACAAAAGGCACCATCCATGACCAGAAATACACCTTCGCGAACATATATTCCCCAAACACGAAACAATACCACTTTCTCCGCAGGGTCATGATAGCTCTGATGAGGTTCGCCGAGGGCACGCTGATTATAGGAGGAGACCTTAACCTCCCCCTACACGATCGAGACACCTCAGCGACACACGCATTGACACCACCCGGCAGGCACGCAAGAACGCTCCAACTACTCCAACACCATCAACTTACAGACTGCTGGAGGGCGCTGAATCCTGAACTACGAGACTACACATTCTATTCCACGACGCATGACACATACTCGAGACTGGACTACTTCCTCCTACCCTACCACAGCCTACCCCTCCTGGTAAAGGCAGAAATTCTACCGATGACCTGGTCGGACCATAACCCAGTCCGCATACGGCTCACGTCCCCACTATTCAGACCTCGTCAAGTTTCCTGGAGACTCAATGAGTCCATCTTAACGGACCCCACCCTGGTGACGAGGACCACGCAGGTCCTCCAGGACTACTTCAACACCAACGAAACCGAGGACACAACACCCCTAACATGCTGGGAGGCACACAAGGCGGTCATACGAGGTCACTTTATTGCACACTGCTCGGCACGGAAGAAGGCACACGCGAAAACAGTAACGGACCTCAGCACGGACATAGCCCTTCTGGAGAACCAACACAAACGGACATTGGACGCCACAACCTATAGGGATCTTCTCCATAAACGCTCCCAGCTAGCTGAGCATATGAACCGCACCATCCAACGGTCCTTTCAGCACTTCCGACATCTAGTACACGAACACGGGAATAAATGCAGCAGACTACTCGCAAATCTATTGAAGCGCCGTAGGACGCATCTCTACATTAGCAAAATTAAAGATGCATCACCTCCCAGACCAGATCTCCACCACGTTCCTTAACTACTACCGAGACCTATACAACATACAGAAAGAGGCACGAGACGCCGCAGAAACCCGCGGCCTCAATACCATTCACACATACCTGGCATCAGCAGGACTACGCCAACTAACGGACCCTGACCGCGAACTATTGGACGCACCCATTGCCCCAGAGGAAATCTCGATTGCCATCAAAAAAGCGCAGACGGGCAAGTCGCCAGGACCAGACGGTCTGCCGTTACAATATTATAAGACCTTTCAGTCCGAACTCCTCCCGAAACTGCATAAGGCCCTGAACTCAATCCGCGACGGGGCGACGCCCTCGGCCCATTTCGCGGCAGCAAACATCACGCTCCTCCCAAAAGACGGCAAAGACCCAACTTCCTGCCAGAGCTATCGTCCGATCTCTGTCCTCGATGTCGATATCAAGCTACTCGCCAGTGTGCTGGCCAACCGCCTGGCACCTCTCCTACCAGACCTGATACATCCTGATCAGACGGGTTTCATCCCAGGCAGAGAGGTCAGGGACAGCACCATACGGGCGCTGAACCTGATCTCCGTAGCATCACAATCCGCACGGCCATCCCTACTCCTGTCGACGGATGCCGAAAAGGCCTTTGATCGGGTGGACTGGAACTTTATGTTCGAGACCCTCCGGACCATAGGCATTGGACCAGGATACATTCAATGGGTGGAAGCGCTATATACCACCCCGACGGCGCGG